CCGCCGCCCGCGAGTTCCGGGGCGAGAAAAGCCCCGTTCATAAGTGCAGATCCGACATAAGTCGGATCCGCGTAACTCGGGGACTGCCTGTACTAAAATGCATATCAATAGAAGACCATTATATATACTACATTTTTGTTTTGGCTCCTACTCACAGGCCATGTGTTGAGCCCCGTGTAAACTCAAATCACTCTGTGGGCTGCAAACAAATGGGCCACACGTTGAGTAACCCTGGCTTACCAGGTAACTGGTTAACCTTTTACGTCCCTATTTTCCTCCTTTTGTGTTAACAGTAATATGATAGTCTTAATGGAATAAATAGCTTTGAACTTCTATTGGAAAAATGAAAAACAATTGATGTGTGTTAATGTTAAAATTATTTTAAAATCTTTTTTTTTCTTTTGGGGAACTAGTCATATTTTTAATCTAATAGGGAGGAAATGTTTTTTCACAAAACCCCCTTTTTTATGTTACAGGTAATTAGGTGGTAATGTTCTCAGTCCAGGCACTAGTATGATGGGGGGAATAATGTGCTTGTGGAGATTAGGAATGTTGGTCTTATTAGTTAAATCACACACACCCACACTCACCATACCTCTTAAGTGGGAGTCGGTGCACGTGGGGAAGCACCTTTTAAGCTGCTCACCTAGGTGTACCAGCTCCCCTGCAGCTGCCTCTCCCCCAACCTTCCCCCTCCCTCCCCACTGCTGCCTCTGATGTAGAGGCAGAAGCACAGAGGAGGGAGGAGACAGAAGACGATACCATCAGGGAGCCAGCTTTTGAGCCAGCTCCTCATGCACCAACTGGACCGCCTTCCTCTATCACAGGCAGCAGAGCGGGGGGGGGGGGGTGGGAGCCAATACATGTGGGAAGCCAGCTCCCTTACAGCAGTGTGCCCCCCCATACTGCTGCCTCTATATCAGAGCAGTCAGGTGGGAGCTAGTGTTCACAGGGAGCTAGCTAAAAAGGTAGAATATATCAAAAAGGATCTTGTCTATGATATGTCAATTCTATTTATTTTTAGCATTTGTCTTTGTATATTGCATTACTATTTTAAAATAGTATATTGTCAATTTTAGGAGTTAGTACATAGTCTTGCCACATGATGGAGCTGAAAATAAACTAAAGACCACTGCAGAAAATAAATGTGATATTTTTAAATGTCAGCATGAATTCTAAGACATAGTATCTGATCATTTGGGTTGTGTTTGGCTTGTTTTTTTATTTTTTTATTTTTATTTTTTGTTAGCATGATAGTTAAGAAAGGGCTCAAACCACTATTTCAATAATGTAGTAATTGGGAATTCAAACAGAACTGGGTAGCTAGATTCTATTGCATAGAAAAAACCCCTCCTGAAGAAGTGTGGTGGTAGGAAACTTCTACCCACTTCTACCCACTCTAAGCTGCATTGTATTCTGCCAGATTGCTACAAGAAATTCTCTGAAATCTGAAGAGGATGGTGGTGTGGGAAGCAAAATTATTCCTAATGTGAGCCATATGTGCTGGGCGCAAGAGGCACTATACTACTTCCAACAACTCCCTGGCCTACCTCTTTGTGTACAGAGCCCCACGTAGTTCAGCCCATGGAACATTAAGAATTTATTAAGAAACTTGGATTTGTTGTATTATCATCCTTGATTCCCATCATGATTGTGATAGATAAGCCACATAGAGTTTGGTTCAGATAAGCATTATAGAATCGTAGGACTGGAAGGGACTTCAAGAGGTCATCTAGACCAGTGTTCCTCAACCTTTTTTTATAAAGTACCCCTTTAAAAAAAAAAAAAAGTACCTGCAATACCTACAGTTTTCAGACACACAATTTTTTTTCTACCATTGCAACACATTTGTTTACACAATTTAAAGCTGGGTGGGCAATGACATTTTTGGGTGTAAAACGTACAAAAATAGTAAAGCTCTGTAAAACTTAAAACCAAAATTCAGTTTTCTCCAAATTTCAGTTGTGTTGACGTATCTTCCCCCCCCTCCCAGACTTCTCTCAAGTGTTTGAGAAACACTGATCTAGTCCAGTCCCCTGCACTCATATCAGGACTAAGCAGACTTAACAAAAAAAGGCATTTTTCTCTTCGTGGGAGAAAAAGAGGGTTTTTTGTTTTTCAAAGTAAATAAAGATTCACGGTTTCTTCTAAGAGCCACTTAATTCCTATGCTATCTCAATCTTGCTTTGTGCTACAGTTATGATTGTGCTAATCCTAATATGAGGTACTCTTGTCCATTACAGGTCAGATAGGACTCAAAGGGAGTTTAAAAAGAAAACTTCAAATCAAAAAGCAAAAGAAGAATATGAGAAAGTAAAGGCTGAACGCGCCAAGAAGAAAGAGGTGAATAAATATTAAATTGAGATTTTTTGGGCCAGCAATTGTGTCCAGATGTTAAATTGGAGGGGGGATGGTAATGATATTTTTTCAGTCTCTGAAATCTGATTGAACCCCACTCGCAGATATACAAGTGTTAAAATACGATAGTTCATGTCCTGCTGTTTTGCATTGCACTGAGTATTGTTCCCTCTGTTTGGGGTTTTAATATACTATGTGCTGATCTGGCTAAGCTCAAGCGTCACAGAACTTGATGCCCCTTCGCTCTTAGATCTGGTTTCCCTTCAGTGAAAGTTGTGACATCTCTAACATGCCATCCATTCATGATGCTGCAATGTCATTCAAAACTTCATAATGAAATAACAGTTGAATGCAGTTGCAAACACACACATCCCGTCCCCCCCACCATCCCTGCTCCAAAAAAAGGTAATCTCATTCTGGATGGTACTAACATGAGTGTCTTCTGGAAGTAAGAGTGTAGCTGTTTAAATGTTTAAAGTGATTATCAGTTACACAAACAGCTATGTGAGGATCCTGGGGAGCCATATACCACCCTGTGCTGCTGCCTCTGATAGGTGGGCATGAGCTGGTATATTTGGGGAGCCAGTGGCACCCTGGCTACAGCTACCACTCCATATAAATTTTCTGTGTTTACACGGTTATCAAATTACACCCATGTTTTCCATTAGGGATGTTAAAATGCAAGTTAATTGTCCCACTGTTTTCTGCACTGCTTCAGGAAAGATGTGGATGAATGGGAACAAGTCCAGAGAAAAGCAATAAAAATGATAGTGAATTAGAATACCTGACCTATGATGAAAGGTTTAAAAAACAGGCTCTGCGGGAGCCAGTATTCACAGTGGGGGGAAGGGAGGAGTAGGGAGGTGTGAGCCAGTGCTTGTGGGGAGCACCCTTTTGTACCCCTACGGGTAAACATGTAATTGCTTAAAAAAATTAAGCAGTTATATGTTCACAAAAAAAATCACATTTCTTAACTAGGGATGTTAGCGTGTAATTGAATAGTTGTGTAACCACATGAGATGGGGGGCGGCAGCCAGTGCTTTCTCAGCCCCACTCCCAGGGAGCCCCCTGCCACTCCACATCACTGCCTCTCTATCATAGCAGCAGCCCTTGTCCGTGAGGGGTCCAACCTCCCTCCAGACAGAGGCTGCTTCCCGGCAGCAGACCCTGTCTGCAGGGAGCTCGGACCCCCCGTGGGCAAGGGCTGCTGCCATGGAACAGCATCTGTTCACGGCGAACCCAGAATGCTTCATGAAGTCAGAGGCTGCTTCACGGCAGCCTCCCCTGCCTCTGCTGTCCCCCCAGGCTGCTGCTCCTTACAGAGGCAGCAGCACCGGAATGGGGCAGGCAGTACCACAGAAAAAGTGCTGGGGGAACTGGCTTTTAAGCTGGCTCTCCCCACACACACACTGGCTTCTGCATGCTCCCCGAATCTGTAGGAGGCAGCAAGGGGAGAGGTCTGCTTGAAAGCTAGCTCCCCTCACATATTGGCTCCTGCCTGCCCCTCTCACTTCACCACTGCTACACCTCTATCAGAGGAAGCAGCGCAGGGACTGGAGGGTGCAATACAGAGGCAGCAGTGGGGGGAGTGTGTGTAGTCGACAGGTTTAACCAGTAAGTCCAGGTTTATCGGTTAATAGTATAGTCCATTGGTGGCCAACCCATTACAGACTAAGAGCCAAAATAGTTGTGGATACAGTGCAAAGAGCCAAGGGAAAAAACTTGTTGTTGGCTGCAGCGTCAGATCTTGCCAACAGGCTTCCTGCCCAAGCAAGGTAAAAAGGTCAGAGCAGGGGACTGTGAGAAGAGCCACGGCTGCGGGAGCCGCAATTTTTCCTTTGAAGAGCCACATGCGGCTCACGAGCCGCGGGTTGGCCGCCCCTGGTATAGTCGTCTACACGTTGACATTCCTATTGTTAACATCCCTCATTTGCAGCATGTGCCATTAGAAGCAAAGCTGCTAAGCCTGCACTGTGACCACTTTCAAGCTTGTCTAATAATTTAACTTTGTGACTTAAAGTCATCACCTTTTTCCTTCTTAGTCTCTTGCCCACTGTCTGCATCGCTTGCTTTTATTTTTAGTGCCAAAATTAAAGTTAGGTGTTGTTTTAGCAATCATAATTTTTTTTACTAAAACCTAGTGAGATAGCATCAGCAAGCTGCATCATATGCATGTGCTGGTGCATTGCAGCGCACCGTGAACAGTGAAACTGTGGATGACGAAGTCTTGTTGTGCTTGCTTGGGTTATTTAACTCACTTTATATTTTCATTCAGCATAAAGCACTATCTCTGTTAAACTATGCAATATTTGAGTTTCATAAAATTGTTTTTCATGTGTTGTTTATTATACAATGAAAATAATATAATATGCATTTGATAAACTAACATCTCTTCACATGCATACTGCTGCTAAGACCTCTGTCTTTGAGGCCTTTACAGTACAGTACTGCATTTCAAAGAACAAAATCCCAGCAGAGCAGCTATCCAAATAAATTGAAGCAAGCCTTTAGTCTGATTAGTGACAGCTTCACGTTTTAATGGGACATGATTTCACTGAATCAAACTAGTTAGCATGCTCATTAAAAATATAATTTGCTTCAGTAATTTATTCAAAGTAAAGCAAAATATTGATGATTGCACCTATCCTGGCCTTAATGCTGAATACAATTATATAAATAGTTTTATACTGTCCCTGTCACTGCAATGATGAATGTCTTCCAGTAGTGCATTGCTTGTCCTGGACAATAACTGTTACATGTTCCGTTTTTTTCTCCTCCCCTCGTCAGAGGGAAAAGTGTGTGCCTTGGAATGCCTTGTTTCAGTGGTGAGGGTTTTTTCTTGTTTTTTGACTTGCGTGTTGCTATGTATTTGTTACCAAAAGCAGATTTTTAAAAAAGTGCCTTTCTCTTGGAACAGAAGATAGTGAGGTTTGTGATAGTCCTTAGTTCCTATGGGATTTCATTCTACAATTTCAACCAGTCCTTTAGAAAGATCTGTGGAAGACAAAATAACTTTGTAGTGAGTTGCATTGTGCCATGATGTGAAGTTGCCAACTGCAGTCTTCATTACAATGCCTTAGGCCACTGTTTTTGAAAGTCCAGGTCATGGCCCAGGAATGTAAAGCACTAGATTGCCTTGCTTGGAACCCAGGGACGTTTGCAGTTCTGGTCAGTACCACTGACTGGGTCGTTTGTGCTGCGTGGCTAAGGTTGAGTCACTACCAGCACTTTGAAAACCACCAGGCTAGTCTTTATGCATTCTAACACCATAGGACACCCTGGAAGTGGTCAGCAGCAGATACAGCTCCTCAGCTGGGGGGGGGGAGGGGTTCACAGTGTTCTGTGCACTGCCCCTGCCATGAGCACCAGACTGCAGGTGAGAGGGAACAGCACAGTTCGTGGTGCCAAGGCAAGAAGGAAGCCCCGATGGAGCTGCCAGAGATAAGCCTGCATCCCAGTCCTTTGCTGCAGCCTGGACTGCTCCCCAAACCTAGAGTCCCTTCCTACACCACAAACCTTTCATCCCTGTCCCCACCCCAGAGCCTGCACCCCCATTCCAGAGACCTTACCCTCTCCTGTCCCGCACCCGAGCCCCCTCCTACACTCTGAACCCCTCATTCCTAGCCCACTTCACCGTCAATGTTCCCTCTAATCTTTTCCATCCATATGTGGAATGCATTTTTTATGTGCACAGAGGTATCCATAGAAGAAAACCTACCTGTGGGCACACTGTTAATCAGCTGGGTGGCATTTGAATCTTTCCTGAGCAGCTGCACAAGTGCTCAGCTTACAGGGAACACTGCCCACAGCTCTCACCCCTGCAGTCCAACTCTCTGCCCCAACCTTGTGGTGCCCCTGCCCATACCTAAATCCTTCATCCTCAGCTCCATTGAGTTGCAGGCATCTATCATTTTCTTGTTTGAAAACCACTGCTTTAGGCGACTGTAATACTTATTTCAGTTACAATAATATCTAACCTTTTTTCTTCTCAGATTTCTTTTAAATTGTGGTGGTGGCCATAATAGCAGTAGGGTACCTAGCTTCCCAAATGTTCACAAGGATGCTTATGTTATTTAAAAATCACATCTTGGGTTTGTACTGATTTTGATTTACTCTTATCAGTTACGTTTTTGTGGATTTTATTTCAGGCAGCAGAGAAAAGGAAACAAGAAAGAGAAGAAGCTCAAAGGCTCTACAAGCAAAAGAAAATGGAAGCATTTAAAATATTAAGTAAAAGGACCAAAAAAGGACAGCCAAATCTAAATTTACAAATAGAATTTCTCCTTCAGAAAATACAACAAAAAACATAGACCAGCTTATCTTCTTTTTTCAATTAATTAAATCAGTCTGCTAAAAATATGTTGTGACTGGTTCTTTTTATTGTAAATTATATATTTTTTGAGTGTATATAGCAACAGTTTTTGTTTGTTGTGATCACTGGTCCAGCACTGTGCTGGAGAAAGTCATTAGTTCTGTAAATATTTGTATAGGTCTGAAAATTGTGAACTTAAGCATATTATGGGATATTGAACCTTCACAATATATATTTTAATTCACTCCTTGCTTTATTCCTCACTTCGGTTCAATGCATCCATAGAAGCATTTGAAGATTTTTTTCGGAACATTATGTTCCCATGTCTCCATTATCTGAAATGTTCAGAAAATCATTATTAAGGTTGTAATTTTAAATGGCCACAAGCATAGTATGATTAATATAAAGTGGTGCAGTGTCGAAATGAAGAACCTCACTTCACAAAGGTTTAGTCCATAAGTGATAAGTATTTATAAAACTTTTAACTGACTCCTCCATATATTAAAATGCCATGTTTTGAAGTGTGAATAAAAACGTGCATTTGGGATGCATTTGAGCAGGAGCAGGGCAGATACGGCCTGCCAAGCCTCTTGATCTAGCCCACAGGCCACCTAATCTAGCCCACAAGCTGCCCCATTGGGACTCTCAGGAAAAGAGCAGCCAGCCATTTCAGAGCAGCCTCATGCCGCTTTAAGTGGCTGGCTGTTCCCTATGGCTCTCTGCTCCAAGCATCAGGGGAAATGGATGCTTAGCACGCTTCCCTTCCCTCCATTGAAACCTCTTAGCTCCCATTGGCCAGATGGCCTCTGAGTCCTGCAGGGCTGCTGGCTGGGAGCTGTCTAGGTAAGTGCCTCCCAGCCATAGCATGCCTCTGACACCCAAGCCCCTCTTTTCCCCTCAATTCCCTGCCCCAGGTCACCACCCCCTGCTGCCCCAGGTCATCACCCAAACCCTCTGCCAGCCCCCGTCACAACTGCCTGCAATAAAGATATTAAGAAGCAGGTAAATGACTAATCATTTAGCCGACACAATTAGTATCAACTACACATTTAGTCACAGTTAGATACGCGGCCCCACAGCGGCTCTGCAGTTTAAATGTAATAGGAGCCAGATGTGCAGGCATTCAGGCTCTTACTCTGTTTAAAATGCAGAGCCACAGCGGGGGTAGGTCTGAGACCTGGTGCGAGCTGGGACCAAGTAGTCCCGGCTTGCACCAGGTCCCAGACCGCTGTGCCTTTGCTCCTCCTCCCTGTGTACCATGGAGATAGGGCTGGGGGGAACCAGCTTTTAATATTGTTTCCCCCAGCACCAGCTCCTGATACAGAGGCAGAAAGGTTGGGGGAAGTAGTCAAGTAGTGACTTGACTAAGCCTAAGTTTATTAGGTAGTTGACTGCTTGTCTAGTAACTTACATCCATACCCTGCAACCCCTGTTATACCGCTCCCCCAGGCCAGAATCCTCTCCTGCACCCATACTCCCTCCTGGATCCTATACTCCAATCCCCTAACCTAGATCAGAACCTCCTCCTTCACCCAAATTCCCTCTCAGACCCCACACCCTCTCCTACACCCCAGTTCCCTATCCCGAGTGTCCTTCTGCACAGCCCCTCCATAAAAAAGTGCAGCAGTGCAGCCCTAAACCAAAATATTTGCATGCCCCCACCATCAAAAATTATTGCCCATCCCTGCCTTTGATCATTGTGAAGAATTAATTCATATGAAGTTTGATAACATTTGATCTTATAGTTTCATTTGAAATGTATTTTGTGGTTTAATTCATAGGCTTAAAAAGATGTGAAGTTATTTCTTTGATCTTGTACTATTGCTTTGCAAGTCAGTTTTATTTTTATTTTTTTTGAGGGATGGAGATCTTTATAAGAGTATTAATGAAAGGTAACTACACTCCTTAGATTTTCACGTACAAATTCAATCCTGTCAAACTTCTCTCTCCCCTTGATTTGGCAGCCAAGAAATAGTGTTGAAGGAATGTCTATATCTGATAAATACTATTCAAACACAAAAGCAAGAGGACTGTCCCAGAAATTTGGATGAGTGTTTGCATTTGATCAGTTGTCAAATGAAAGGCTGCAGAAATAATTAAGCTCTAGACTCTAGGAGGTACCCTTTTGCACATCCATATACATAATTAGCAGTGAGGGGACTTGGACTTTCTCAGGGTATGTCTACACTACAGCGCTAATTCGAACTAACTTAGTTCGAATTAGTTAATTCGAACTAAGCTAATTTGAACTAACGCATCTAGAACTAAGAACTAGGAAACTAGGTTGAAGTACAAAGGATAAATATAAACAAACACAAGTATGTAGGGGCAAAATTAGAAAGGAGGATACAGTGTAAAATAAGCTCAACTAGATCTAGACTGGACCTCCTTGTCCAGCACAGTTGGGACCTGACCAGACCCAAACGAGAGAATTTGTGAGACCAGGAAAGATCTGTCACTGGCTCCCAAGCCCATTACAGGCTGCCTGTCTCACTTGCATGCATGCACGCATGCACGCACACGCTCACACACACACTCTCTCTCTCTCACACTTGGCTGGGCTGCTTGCCCAACTGCTGTCAGCTCCCTGGGCTGCAGCCCCTCCCACTCCCGGCATGCCCGTGCATCTGGGGCAGCCATGGGGCTCCAGCCCTAGTCCTGTGCTACAGGGGGCTGCTATGGGGCTCTACCCCCATACTCCAAGAAACTGCTAGAGGACTCTGGTCCTGTGCTGCTGCAGGGCTTCAACCTCAGCCCCAAGCTCCCAGGGGCTGCCACAGGGCTTCAGCCCAGTGCCAACCATGCTGACGGGGGACTTTGGCCCCATGCTGCTGTGGGCTGTTGGAGGCTGCCAGGGGGCTCTGATCCCGGTCTTGAGCTGCCCCCAGCTTGCCTGCCAATCCTGTTGCCACGGCCTGGCTGGCCCTCCTGTCCTTAGGCTCCCAGCTCTCTGGTCCAGGAGTATCCATGGTCCTACCAGATGACAGATGTTGCTAGACCAGAGTGTGCTAGTTTTGGAGGTACAACCTGTAGCGATATAAAGGGCAACAAGAAAACATTCTACAAAAATATTGGAAGCAAGAGGCAGACAAAGGGCAGAGTAGGCCCATTACTAAATGAAGAGGGAAAAACAATAAGCACCTCTGCCATTTCCATATTTTATGGACTTCTTTGACTACTTTGTTTTAGTTTTCATCAAGAAGTTTGTTGGTGATTGAATGCCTAACAAAGTGAATGCCAGTGAAAATGGGGTATATTCAGAAGCTAAAATAGAATAAGAAAATAATTAAAAATTACCTAGACAAGTAAGCTGTTTCAAGTCACCTGATGAAATGCATACTAGAGTACTCAAGGGGCTGACTGAGGAGATATCTGAGCCATTAGATATTATCTTGGGCTACATCTAGACTACAATCCTCTTCTGCAAGAGGAAATGCAAATGGAGCGCTCATTTTCATATGTTACTCTCTCATTTGCATTTCCTCCTCGGATCCCTTTTGCTCAAGAGGTTTTTGTGCTAAAAAGTGTTGCGTAGACGGCTTCTTTTTGTGCAAAAAACCCTTTTGCACAAGAGCCATCCATCCTCCAAAAATGAGCGCTCCATTTGCATTTCCTCTTGCAGAAGAGGATCGTGGTCTAGACATAACCTTGGACTATAGGAGAAATTCCAGAAAACTGAAAAGGGGCAAATATAGTGCCTGGCTATAAAAAGGGAAATAAGGAATTACAGACCTGTCGGCTTAACTTCTGTACCAGGAAAGATAATGGAGTAAATAATTAAGGAATTCATTTGCAAACATCTAGAAGATAATAAGGTGGTAGGTAACAGCATGGATTTGTCAAGGAAAAACCCTGTCAGACCAACCTGATAGTTTTCTTTGACAGGGTAACAAACTTTGAGGATAAAGGGGAAGCAGTAGACATGGCATATCTAGACATTAGTAAGGTATTTGATACAATCTTCCATGACCTCATTAAGAAACTAGGGACATACAACCTGGATGTAGCTGCTATTAGATATGTGCATATATGGTTGGATAACCATTCCCAGAGAGTAGTTTCAATGGTTCACAGTTACGTTGGAAGGGCATAATGAGAGGGGTTCCAAGAGGATCAATTTGGGGACAGGTTCTGTTCAATATCTTCATCGGTGGTTTAGATAATGGCATAGGGAATACACTTGTAAGGTTTGAGGACAACAACAAGCTGGGAAGGGTTTCAAATGCTTTGGAGGACAGAATTATAGTTCAAAATGATCTAGACAAACTGGAAAAATGTTCTGAGGTAAACTGGATGAAATTCAGTAATGACAAATGCAAAGTACTCCACTCAGGAATGAACAATCAGTTGCACACACATAAAATGGTAAATGACTGCTCAGGAAGGAGTACTGCAGTAAGGGATCAAGGAGTCTTAGTGGACCAGAAGCTAAATATAAGTTTGAGAAAATATAAGAAAGATGTGTTTAACGTAAAGGAAGACTTTTATGTGGACTCTGGGAGGAGGTGGGAACGTAGAATATTCTTAGCCTCTCCAAGTAGAGCTAACTCCCTCTCTCAGTTGCTACCAATATACAGAGCTGGCATCTTATTTTCTGTTTTGCAATAGAAAGAAAAAGTTACTCTCATTCTATATCTCTCATTCTATATATGTAGCTATTACATTCTCTTAGCACTTTCAATAAATCCTCTATCCTCAAAGAAAATGCCTTTCCCCCCTTTCAAGTGATTGCTTTAATAGCTTTTTCCCTCTAAAGATTAGGATTTAATAATCAAGAGAAATATTTTTAGGGGCATAGTCAAATGGCTATTCTGAGGGTGTGTCTACACTACAAAGTTAATTCGAACTAACAGACGTTAGTTCGAATTAACTTTGATAGGCGTACACTAGCGCTCCACTAGATGGAACTTAATTTGAACTAGCGGAGCGCTTAGTTCGAACTAGGTAAACCTCATTGTACGAGGACTAAGCCTAGTTTGAACTTACTAGTTCGAATTAAGGGGTGTGTAGCCCCTTAATTCGAACTAGTGGGAGGCTAGCCCTCCCCAGCTTTCTCTGGTGGCCACTCTGGCCAACACCAGGGAAACTATTGCCCCCCTCCCGGCCCCAGACCCTTTAAAGGGACACGGGCTGGCTACGGTGCCCGTGCCAGTTGCAAGCCTGCCAGCACCCAGCTAGCAGACCCTGCACCTGGCACGGCTCGAGTAAGCCACCCGATGCCCCCCAACCCTCCCCCTCTTCCCG